TTTTTTTTTTTTTTCATCATTGATTTTATTTTAGTAACAAAATTGTTTTATCTATTGTTCAAATATTTATTTGGCTTATTTATTTTCGACACAATTAGAGCTGAATTAATTACATTTTGATTTCTTCTTACTTCTATTGTATTCGTTTTGATCATTGAATTATATTTCAAATAAATTCGATTCCTAAAGAAAATCTATTCGTAAAAAGGGTGTACAATTTATATTAATAGGGTGGGAATCGATCGTACTCTGTAAAAAAAAAAGAAAAACTAAGTGTTTCAAATAAAGAATAATATTATCCAATCATCTTCATCGAAACAAAAGGATATTAAAGATGACAGGACAATGATTAATGAAGATAAATTTCTTTAATGAATCTGTTAAATCAACGATATTTATAAAATAATTTGAAGACATTTAAACCATTTATTTTGAAAGTGGCCGAACACGATTTGTATGAAAAATCGAGTTAGCTACCGTAATATTTAAGTGGTTCAGAAAGTCGTTTCATTTTTTTCTGACCCAATAATGGGCATATTAGTTGATGCAAACCAACAAATAGTAACACATGAGATCGATGAGAGCTTAAATTTATCAAATTCAACTATTTATGACCACTTGAAAGTTTTAGGTTTAACCTCGAATCAAAAATTATCTACATTTTTACAATTAAAAAACGAAACGACTTTCCAAATTATCTAATAGCTACATTTTTACAGCTTAATGCACAGAAAATATCCTATGCAAGATAAATTTAATCCTCTATGGGCCGAAATTTTTCTTCTTCAATCCCCAAAAAATTAGGGAAACGAAAAATCAACAATTATAAACATCTATATATATATATGCAAATAAACAAAACAATTTGTTATTTAAATAATTTTATTGCAGTATATTCAATATGTGACTTTTAGATAATAACGGTCTATAATATTGGCACTTCTGTCTATGACAAATTTAATCGTGAAACTCTACGAAACAGTTTTCACTTTTATAATTATGAGCACATTTGTTTTATTCGGTCGTTGAAATAGTTCAACTTAAAAAAAAAAAAAAAAAGAAAGGGTAGTAAACATTAAATGGGCAAAAGCACACTTCTTCATAGGTCGGCAGTTTCGAAGGAAAGTATTTTATTTATTTATTTTTTTTTTTGTTTTTCACGTACGTGATAGTCGATCGTTGAAAATAATTTAGTTGAACGACTTTGGCGATAAAACAATAACGATCTCTTCAATAGAAAATAAAAAAAAAAAATGGGGGGTTACCACTGGCGCTCGTGTTGGAAAATTGGACACCGATGAGCGCTGTTTGCTGCTGCTGATTTCAAGGGAAAAAAACAACCAACCAACCAACAAAAAAAAAAAAAAAGAAATAAAAGTCGAAATCGATCTTACGCCACGATACGTTGCTCGAGGCTGTCATTTTTGTCTTTTTCTTTTTTTTTATTTATTTTCTCGATAATATTTATCGGCGGTAAATACGAGAGGGATGTGAACCCCTCCCCCAAAAAAGAGAGAGAGAGAGAGAGAGAGAGAGAGAAAAAGGTAAATAATAAAAGAGGAACCCCTTTCTCCCCCGAACCCCACCCCACCCCTCTTTTAAAACAAATAAAAAAGAAAAATGGAGCGATAACTGAGCGCGGTGGCAACTGTGAAATACCGAATCGAAGTGACACGTATATAGGTGTTCTTCCCCCCCTGTCCCCGCCCCGCTCCCTCCTCCTCCTCTTCCTCTTTCACCTTGGCCTCCTCAAAACCCCTGCGTTTTCGGTTGCACTGCGATTGTGCGTTGAATACGCGAAAATGGAGCAGCACCAACAGCAGCATAGTTACAACGACAAACCTCCGAGTAATTGCTACGCGATGGGATATAATTAACTACAGATCGTAACGGTAATAGCTATCGCATGATTTATGGGAAACAGAATGTTAATGAGTATAGCAAAGGTACTCGCTCGTTTATTACGGTACTATAACGCTTTTGCGTATGTATGTATGTATGTATGTATATGTGAACGCTCGTGTTGCTTTAGGTGGAAAAGAAAAAAAAAAAAAAGTAAAATTGAAAATTGCTCACGCGCGTTATAATACGCGAATTCGAGTGGGACCCGTAGAAGGGGTAGATGGAGAGAGAGAGAGAGAAAGAGAGAGAGAAGAGGGGGTGGGGGTGGGGGTGGTRGTGGTGGGTCACCACTTCGACGACAAACGAACGGTGACAAGGGTGCATCGTGCAGGTGGCTCGTTAAAATTTCACTCGGGTGAATGTTCACCGATCGAAGTGACGAGGCGAATTACGAAAATATAATAAGCATCGAGTGTCGTTCAAATCGCATACACGTTTGACGTGATTCTTCTATCTATCTATCTATCTATTTATCTATCTATCTATCTATCTATCTGCGATTGGATGTTTGATTGAAATCATTTTCTCTTTTTTTTTTCTCCTTATGCGTATAATACAAAAAAGAGAACTCTATTTTTCAAAAAGTATGATCTGAATGATGTTGAATGATAATCGATATGACACGTGATAGAAGTACTCTGTCCTTCTTTTTACCTATTGAAAATTGTTCTCTCTATAATAGTACACATATACTATTATTATTTCGTATTTATATAATAGTTATTTTTATTGAAAATAATATCTATGAATAATAGAGAAGAGATAACAAAAGATACGTGAACAAAATAAATGATGTCTCAAAATTATTGATTAAAAATCATCATTTTATAAAATTCAATCATTAATCTTTACTCTGTCATCTTTAGTATCCTTTTATTTTCAAGAAGCTGATTGGAAAATGTTATTCTTTACTTTTGGACACTAAATATCTTAGATGATTTTGCTGTAAAATGATTTACTTGCAAGGGGTAACAGCAACCATACATTTTACAGATCTACGAAGTTTTCTGTTACATAAATCGAATAAACTTTTGTAGGTACTTGTATAGAAACATGCTGATTAAGTATATTTAATTGTAAGTATTAAAAGTGTTCGGGGGAAATAGTAAACTCGCGTTAATCCGAGATATTCGAAGTAACGCGAGTAAGCTCCGTTGAGAGACGAGAAAGATCGTGTTCGTTAAACAAATTGGCTCGGAGGTCGTAAGAGTAATTTTCTACAAGGTGAGTACCACCGAGTTACGAATCGTTGAATCGGCTACGAGAGTGTACCTACTACTTTCTATGGAACTTTGAAAAAGTCAAGCAACTGAAGCGAAAGTTTCTCAAAGTTGACGTGCCGTTTGAATCGACGACGCAAAGGAAGGAACCTAGGAGAGGATTGAAATAGCCTCGTTTCCAACCTTTATCGTCGATTTCTTATTTCTTTTTCTACTTTTACTTCTACTTCTACTTTTTCTACTTCTACTTCTGCTTCTTCTTCTTCTTCTTCTTTCTTTATTTTTTTCTTTATTCGATTCGTTCGTTCGTTCGTTCGTTCATTCGTTCGTTTCGCGGTGGAAGAGTCACGTCCGATTTTTCTATATAATTTGATTCGGTCAGCGAACGGTCACGAAATCAACGTGTGCGACCTCCTAGTTCTTTTCTTTTTTTTTTTCTCTGGTTAAAAGTTCAAAATGGGAAAGAGTTACATTACCAACTCTCGATGGATCTGAACAAAGAAGAATAATAAATGAAAACATGAGATAGACTTTGTCTATTTCAATAGAATGAATATCTCGTAAATAATTAAACTTTGCTGTTCACGATTATAAAATTACTTCGATTTAGATATTTTTTTTTGTTGGTATTTATCCTACTTTCCATGTTATATTTCTCGAGAAAATGAATATAGCGGTTGATAGTAAATTATTATAGTTGCCGTTGAGTTTCTCGGTTAATTCATAAACATTTTGTAAGATTAATTTTGTCTCTATGAGATAGCAAGAAAAGGGATAGTAGAATTGCAAGACGTACGAAACCTTTTGGGCAAGGAAACTCCGTAACTCGTCCGTAGAATTCGAAAGTTTTGATTGCACTTCTGCTTCCTACGACGAAATTGATTTAGAAGTTTCGTCGGACGCGAAATATCGTGGATGCCGTTGAGATGCGTCGAAGACGACGACGACGACGACGACGACGACGAACAAAACGAACACTATGACGATACTCTCTCTCTCTCTCTCTGGTATTTTTATTTTTCAACACAAGACATTTTTCTTTCATCCATAATATCAACGCCATCAACGTACTCAAACTATGTTATTTTTGTTGTAGGTCTTAGACAACGGGCGGGCACCACGGATTCTCCAAGAACCGGTAAGGAAAATCTAAATTCTCCATTAAAGTTACGTGAAAATATTTGAGAAAGAAAAATATCTATCTCTCGAATGGATTGAAAAATATTGACGTCGTCGTCGTCGTCGTCGTCGTCGTCGGATGCATTTAACTTGAATTAAACTTTTATTATGATATAGGTACGTCAGATATATTCGTACAAAATGTTAGTTGTCACCGAGCAACCAACCAATGATATGATAGATAATTAACAAAGCAAAACCAATATAGAATGAATATGAATGGATAAAGATACATAATACTTAATGCTTTTGCTCATATCTCTATATAAATCCAGATTCTCGTAAATATCAACCGACGAGGTAGTTTGAAACGTTGTTTAATTATTTATACGCTCGCATAACTGAGGTCGCATTGGATACAGAAGCCTCCTATTGACACGGAACCATTGAAATTACATTCGATGTTGATGATGCGAGTAATATCCTCGATTGGATATCCAACGGGCTTCAACGAATCATTAGTATAATTGGTCTAGGCCTGTGTGTATAAACTGTGGCGCAGTCGAAACAGCGCTTTTCCTCGATTAACGAGAGACCATTTTATAAAGCCTAGTTGGACGGATAACGGGCAAACGAGTACGGTGTCGTTAATTTATCTGAAAATACGACGAAACGAAGATGTTAAAGCACAATTATGCGACTAATAAATTGTTGGCTCGTTCGAGCTAGCAGCAATGAACGCGAATGGCGTTCTACGTTCGGGTGGAATGGGTGCTTTTAGTTGTTGGTTCGCGAACGTGCTACGATTCGATGCATCAACGACGCACCAACTGGCAGTTGGCAGTTGACGAATATCTAAATTTCCGCGATGCACGCTCGACCGTAATGTGGGCTGTGGCCTTTTAAGCCATTCATGCATCACAATTTGATGCCGGCTAGTAAAAACAGTCCCTTCCGAGTGTGTTCCATCCCTACCACCTCGATCATCCCTTTCCTATGCACACTCATTGGAGACCCTCTTCCTCTATTTTAGCCATCAACGTTCGTCCTGTGGCCGCACGGCAGCCCAAAGCAACTCTACCGCACACCGAAATGCGTTCCAAAATTTCGATATCTCTCTATACCCAAAATTCTATTCTATTCTACATATATATATATATATATCTATATATACACGTACATGTCTCTATGTACACGCGAGTGTGCGAATAAAAGCCGATTGTTTTAGTGCACCTAAGTGTATCTACCAAATCTTTTTTCGTCTGTGTAAAACGACACGTTAACGTACATTCATGTATATAGATAGATATACAGTTAACTGTATACGATGGAATTTCTCTTTGTGCGCGTTAGGCCGTATCAAACGATAAACCGTATTCGCGCGTTACTGCGACTGAACTCACTGGGCAACGAACGACGAAAGCTTTTATTCGATCCAAGAACGATCCTTGTATTTTAAAACTGTTCCGTTCCGTGTTATATACTGTACCACGTAAAGCCAGAAATCATTGGATTCTATTCCAAATTGGATGATCTTTTTTTTTACTTTTTTTTTTGTTTTACTTTTTCTTTTTCAGAACGGTTTTATATAATCGCGGAAGGAACAAATGAAAGTTCATCAAAATGTTTTTTTAATTAAGAATATTTTTTTATTCTGCTATTAATTATGCTATCATAATGATTTAATCGTTAGAGAATAAAAAACAATAAAAAATTATTCGGTTTACCGCACATGGGAAGAAAAAGGGAAAAAAAAAGAATCGCAAGCGAAATTTTGGCACGCGCCAACAGCTTTCGAACGGTTTTACTTCGGCAGGATAAAACTCTTTGCAAATATTTGTACTAGCTCCGCGTGGACTATCGGAAAAGTTGGCGCGAAAGTTCTCTTTAACGTAGCTTTGAATTTGAAACGAGCTTTTGCGATAGGGAAACTAAAAAAAAAAAAAAAATAAAAAAAAAACCACCAAATTTTCTTGTTTCGTCAATCTGATTTTTCTATTCCATCGTCTTTCCATTCACGAATGGTTCGTAAAAAGTGTGACCTTTTTAAAAAAGGTCTCTTCAAAGGTCTCTTATTTATAAAGATAAGTACTACTTTCATTTTCTTTACATTGTTACAGCTTAATTTCGTTTACTTAGGCGTTTATCATAGGCTAACAATTAGTTAACCGTTTATTTTACCAGGAACTTCTTAAAATGCTCTTAAGTTTGAACAAGTCTTTCAGAAACGTTTACACCGAACGTCAGTATTTTCCAAACAAACTTCTATTTTCCACACAACGTCGATCTTTAATTATAAATTTCAAGTGATACTCTAAAGTCACGTACTCCATCTCGAGAGATTAAGTCAACCAGTTCGATTTTCGAGTCTTCAAAATGCACGTTTCTACGTGCATACAACAACTACTACTACTACTACTATTACGACCGACATTCAGAGGCTTCGTATAAGCGTTGTACTTTCGCAAAACTCTCAACTCTTCGTTCTCTATTATTTCTACGATATACGCGCGTACCCAAGTGTGATCATTACTCGTGCGCTCTTTAAAGAATAATATTGACGGTAGAGTCTGGTTTCCTAGCACGTCACATCATAAGGGAGTATCTCGGAACGTGTTATTGCCATCCATAGCGACTTGTATAATACTCTACGAACTAGTTGAGAAAGCGTGCTGCCAACGACAACCTTTATCACAACTTATTCCCTTTCAAATATTTCACAAGTCATTCTTTTAATACAATGTGTTTCATTTTAGTTTTAACGCTGACTAACGCTCAAAAATAGAAACATTGATACCCCTATTTATAGTATATCGTTATAAATAAATATAAATATAAATAAAATTCGTTTTGATCTAACAAACATAGAAAGAGAGAGAGAGAGAGAGAGAGAGTAAAGATGTTTGCACGTATCGTATCGATAGTTTCAATAAATAAAAGGGAATCGTACGAAATATACATTTGCAATGAAAATAAATATATATATATATATAGGTATATATGCATACCTGTATACCGCAAAGAGAATCGTGCTTTTCATATATATATATATAGTACAAAGAATAACAATAGAAAGAGAGTAACTCCATGATACGCGTATGTTACCCCCCATGTTTCTATTCATATCATACATTTTTTTCGTTATTTGCTATTGCATCGCGAATTCACTATTGTTCGAATTCATTTGTACACATTTTTATTTTATTTTATTGAATTATCGATATTATTAAAAAAAAAAAAAAAAAAAAAAAAACAGAAAAAAATCAAACAATTATAGAAAATAATATTAGCTTATTAAAAAATTCTAAATGAAATACAATTCGTCGACGAATCAACGATCTTTTCTTTTTTTTTTTTTTTTACTTTGCTCGATTTACGGTAAAAGGAAAGATTTCCTAAGGGAATGGGTCACCTCGAAATATTCGATGAAGGTTGGTATCATCTTCATTCAAGTAGTTTTCATTTTCATCAAAGGGATTTTGAAACGTTCTACGGAGAGTGCACTTCGTACATGAATAAAGTGCATGTAGTTAACGTTTCGGCGATGTTTAATTACCTCGGGGGTGTGGATGAACGTATGCGTGTATTACGTTAATTATCATCGTTGAAGCTCGTTCATTTTCACGATACTAGGACTATGTTTATCAAAGGTTAAGAGAAAAGGAATGAAAGCAAATGATAATACCGATTAATTCGAAATATCAAACCTGTGCTATTATAATATATATATATATATATATATATATATATACATATATTAGGAGTACTCACAATCAGTCCGATACACACGTCTTTAAGTCAACGAATTATCTAATATTGCTATTATAAATTGAGATATAAACTATCTTATCTTTCAAGTTGGATGAAACTGCACACAGTGTACAAAATTTGATTAAAATCGGTTCAGTAGTTTAGGACAAACATTGCGGATAAACAATGTGACACGTAATTTTCATATATATTAAGATTGGTAAGATATTTGATATAAGATTGCTTGATTTGTCTTTCAAACCATTTGATTTTCAATGCATTAAATAGATGTGTCTAACAAGTGCACCACCGGTGGTACACGTTGCCTGGAGGTTAAATTTAAAAAGAAACGAAGTTGATGGAAAGCTTTAGCATTTGTTATTTAGTGTAACAAAGAGAATCCTGGACTAGTGTGAATGGTTTGTACCGTAAATATACTGAGAAATCCTAGATGCACAGGAGTATTTATTGTTGGTTCTACGATCGATGCGTTGGGAGACATCGTGGACAGTTCAGACTTCCTTTAGGCCAACTCAATTCCACATGACCAAAGTAAAATTATGTTATCTCGGTCGTAGTGTTTCTCTTCGTTAGATGGTAGACAGATAACATTCAAATATAAATTTAAATATTCGGGAAGGCAAGGCATGTCCTTTGAATTTTCTCGAAAGACACGATAAAATCCGTTAGATCGGTACACTCGTACGAGCGTGAATAGATTTATGAGGACGAGAGTAATGAAAACACAGCTACATATATGTAAATACATACATACATATATACATACTAGTTCGTTGCTAATTCACAGTTCGTAACGAACCTACATTCGTACATATATACATACATGCATACGTAGTATTATACGAACATTATAAAAGTTGAAATTATATCTCATTTGAGGGAGTGGGATTCGTAGTGGCGTGTGGCGCTTCATTTTTCGACGAGTCGCATGAGTTTTCAGTGAAAATGCGCGGACAAGCAGTCCGTTGGGATTCAGCAGCGTAGAAAACAGAGAAACGAAAATGGAAATTGCAGAAACAGGAGAAATATAGGAACATATATATATATATATATAGATATATATATATATGTATGTAGTTACGTACGCAGCGGTGGAAATCTTGAACGTCCGAATCTGTCGCTCATATCTAATTCTGTTTAGTGCACTGACCAAAATACGAGGGAGAGAGAGAGAGAGAGAGAGGGTACCGCGACGCATCGCAACACTACGAAAAGTTTAAATTATCCTGTCCACTGGGGGGAGAGGAA